TGCTTTTGTATTTCTCCAAAATGCTATATTATAGGTCATGTCTTAAATATCAAAACATTTCCTCCTTGAGCTGACTTGTAATCCAAAGTAACATATAATAAATTCATTGCTCAGCCACAATCCAGTGGTCTTCCTGCTATTTCAGCTCTACTTTTTGAAGGACACTGAAAGGCACAGATGTAAAAAGGATGTAGTGTAACTCCTAGAGACAAAACACCAATCTCTTAATGGCTGAAAGACTCAACATCGCAAAACCACTTGAGATCTAGATGTGAATGTTGACAATACATACACTTAGGCTTTCATAAACACCTTTCTACCCAGAGTAATGGTGAAAGTGTCTACTTTATGAACTAATTTCACCCAAGAAAACCAGCCATAGCATTGAAAAGCTACTGGTAGCATTTTCAGATAAGCTTAATTATTCTATGATTATGTTATTACAAATCATATTTTTTGTCTGATGGAGATAGACCTTCATTTGTACACAAAACTCCCACATGTAAATTACTTCATAGACTCTTAAAGAGACAGTTAACTGGTCTATTTTGTAGAAATGAGATCCTCTGAGCCATGGCATCAGAACCAATAAATAAAGACACACAGTAATGTGTATTTGTCACGAATGTCATTCATGTCACTGGATATGAATATCCACAATGACCAAAAAGGCCATAGTGTGACACTGCTACCTTTGGTGCTTCCTCCTAAGGCAAGTTGATTAAAAAATAAAAGTGAACATTTGCCAAACAGTAATATTTTTGCATGTAAAAACACTTCTATAATTTCAGGATCATGACAGTGATGAAAACATAGGTTGGGAAACACCGGTATAATTCTAGATTGTAAAATACTCCAATCTTGTTGAAACATCACATATAAATTTCAAGATCTTCATAACAATCAAAAGGTAACATATCTTGACTAATCAAAAGTCCCAGATAAGCAAGACAGAGTACAAGACAGAAGAATGTTTCAAAGCAAAGCCAAAGTAAGATCTTATTTACTTTTTCCCTTTAAATGCCAGGGAAAAGCAATCAAATCCTGAAATATCTGACATCCCTTTCAGAAAGTTTATTTCCCCTTTTTTTCACCAGATCATGGAAACATCCTCAGTTGGGTAAACAATGAATGAGCAAACCAATCAACTTATTATTTACCTACTTTCAATTATATACATGGATAGATCAACATTTGGTATACAAGCCAAAATTTTAACCAAAGCACTTGTGCTGGCTAGCTGTACAAACCTGCTATGATTATATGCCACACAACAGTGCTGCCAAACGTTTTCCTAGAGATACACTTAACTGGCCAAAGACAAAACAGAAAAAAAGTGCTTTTATGAGTACACAAGTTTCAAACAGCCAGAATCTAGAAATGAAACTCGAACTTCCATATTTCTAACCAGAAGTTCCAACACATCTTTCTTTTTTAAGTGTGCCTGGTTTTCTCTCTCTGATTCTGTGTTAAAGTTTTGTCAGTATGCTCAAGGATAAGGGACAGGCATGCTGTATTTCCAGTAATTAAGAAGGTTTGCCCCCAACCTGCAAGCATGCTGCTCTTAGGTTGAAAAGTCTACAGCTGCCTGAGTGGAATTTTGCACCCAGCAATATGGTTCCCTCCCAGTCCACTGCAGAAGAGCTACTGGCAGAGGGATAGAGCAAGGGGGGGCTGAGCTAGAGAAACAGAAGAGCTGAGTGATGAGCAAGCAATGGCGCTAGTCGAGTACAAAATGCAATTACTAGGCATAAGTGCAACTGAAAAAAACTGTAAGCTAATGTCCGGGACATCAAATGTGATCTTCCTGATCCTGATGTCTCAAGAATCTGATGTTCTGCTACTCAAAAAGAGGAAGCTATTAAAAAGCATTAAATAGCTCCTTAAAATTGTTTGTCTGGCTTCCCTCCCTGCTTCCTCCAGCAAGCTTTTCTTCTCCCTGAAAGATTATTCATTGAGAGTTCTTCAAACAAGCATGTTGGTTATGAACTTCATTTTAATCCAACTGCAGAAAGGAAGAAATGCTGTTTATGTTATGTAGTCCTTCACAATAGGCAACAAATTGGCCTCGTTCTAAATACTTTTTCTTTTAACTGGACAAGTACAGATGATGATAAGAGACTTAAGAGATCATCTTAGACTCTGCAGGAAGAAGGACATCTGATGACAGTATGGTTCTTGTTTCTGTTTGTACGGGATCATTCTCTTGCCAATGTCCTTTTCCTTCCACCGTTTTTTTCTTCTAGGAAGAACATCGTAGAAAAAGTGACATGCAGGCAAGATCGTGACAGCACGGCCTGTTTATGCTGATGTCATTCACTGATGGCTTGCCATCTGCAACCAGTGCTCGAACCCTGGAACAGAATTCCTAAAGAGGGGGCAGTGCCAGTGTTTAGGAGGCTTTGGATGATGCCTTTAATGCACTTTTTAACTTGGTTAGCCCTGACATGTTCAGGTAGTGGGACTAGATGATCTTTAAGATGATAAGTTAAGATGAGGCTGATGAACTTTTACTTTCGAAGTCTGATGAACACCATTAATTTCTTACAGGAAAGTAATTGGAGAAACATCTAACTGTTGTGTGTTTCTCTGTATTTCTTCAGACCAGACCAGAATGTGCACCCCAAAGCCTGTGCTCAAAGATATGAGATGCTATAACAAAGACAGAAGTGAACTCTGAGGAAAAAATCAGTTTCTTTCAGTGGTCCCAATAATTACAGGTTTAGGGGGGGGGAAAAGGCTATTTCAGTTCCAACAGTGAAATAAAACCATTTTACACCTATATGCAAGAGACATTTGCAAAACCACTCCAGCTGTGCAGAAACATGAGGCCTGGAAAACTGCCAGGTTTTCCAAGTGTGACCTGCTGTGCAAATACTGACTATACAAGTTAAAGATGTCTGGGGTGAATTTATGTTCCCTGTTTTCCAGGGCTGAAAACAGTATTCCTCCACCTACCAACACCATGTCAAACTCAAAACTTTCATCTGACATGTTCTCAAGATTCTTGACAAGTTCTGTAAAGCACAATTCCTTTCTATTTTCAAAATGAAAACTAGCTTATTCTAAATAAGAAACTGAGGCAAAAGTGTATATTAAAAAACTTTAAGAAGGATCAAGTCCTGGCCACGTTTGTTTGACTCTTTTACAGAAACATCTATAGTTAATTTCACAAAAACCATAAAAACGTGAATGACAGTGATATCTCTTCTCAGTATTAATAATTAAGGACGCATAGCCATCATTATCTTGAAACTTCAGAATAATCTTTCAAAAGTCAGCAGCTGCCTAGAATCACAGAATCATAGTTTAGATTGGATGGGACCTCATCTGTGTCTTACAAAGCAAGGCTAGTTTCAACATTAGATCAGAGTGCTCAGAGCCTTGCCTAAATCAAAACTTCACCTATTTCCAGGAATGGAAATTCCACTACCTCTTTAGGTGACTGCCTTAGTCCTTGATCATCCGTATAGTGAAGTTCTTTTTTTTCTAAACCCCATTTTTTTCCCTGAAGCAATTTGTATCCACTGTATACTTTCACTGTGCACTTCCAAAAAGAATCCATCCTCTCTACAAACACCCATTAGGTGGCTGAAGACAGCAGTAAGTCTTCTTCACCCTCTCTTCTGGAGGCTGCACAGACCCAGCTCACCTGCTGGCCTCCAGCTATCCATGCTGGACTCGCTCCGGTTTCTCACAGCTGTTACTATCGCCTTCCATGTAAAGTATCAAGGATGACCCAGCAGTAAGGTGACATATACTGAATGGTTACTCCATGTGAGATGATTTACGAGCATAGAAAAACATGATGGTAACATGACCTTGGTTTTAAAAAGTATCAGATAAGCTTTATACACTGGACAAGCTCCATACTGCATTTTCTCCTCATTTTATTTATTTTAGGAAAACTAGGGTTGTATATACACATCATTAGAACTCCACAACTAAAAGCTGCCAGGACGCAACGAAGTGCTGTGCATGTGGCTGATAAGAGAGTGGTTTGTGACAGGTATTCCTGGCTGCAGTGACAATAAGCCCATGTTTCCAAGTCTACTGTTGTCCATAAAGTTCTGGTATGGACTTATTTTTTAAGAGATTGTGAAGGCCTCAAATTTCTCCCTTGAATATGAATGTGCACAGAGAACTAAGCCTAATTTCACCAAAAAGGAACTTTAACAGTATGTCAATACACACTACTGACTGATTTCGATTGCTGCACGTCATCTCTGACCCTCATGCCCATATGCAGGTGTTTTTCCCCTTTCAGGAAGGGACTGTGAAGTGAGATGACCAGACTGAGTGTAAAGACAATGTCTTCAATGAGTGTCACAGTAAATATTTCAGTTGTAAATTCTAGTAGTCTGGAAAAATAACAGATTTTACTGCTATGATATCTGGGTGGTACAGTTTGTAATTTATAAATATTAAGGACTAATGAAAAGTAAGTTCTTCCTTTTTCTTTTTTAAAGCTATGAGGTTCAGTACTGCTGAATAAAGTAAAATTGTTACACTTCACCTAAGTGAAGTGCAATGTACATACAATGTACATGCAGTTGCAAAATACTGCAAATGAGCTGATATTTTTAGAACTTTTAGCAACAGTAATACATATGAACTTACATTCTGTGTTAAGTTTAAAGGTTGTATTTGTAAGTGTAAGAAATGCAAAATGTAACTGATTTAAATGAAAACACCAATCTTCGAAACTGTTAAGGTACTTGCCTGGAAGAAAAGGACTCTTCCAATCCTGGTGTTTGTTACTTAATTTCTTACGGTTCTTGGCGGGCTTTAGATGAACTACCAACTAGTAACTACAGTTCTGGGAACAGAATGATACAGCTATTTTCCATTAGCCAACTGTTCATTCTGGACAAGAGAAGCCTCATTTATACACAGTTACTATGTACTAGTTTGTAAGTTTCAGCAGAGATTATAACTTGTAAATCCCCATTGATTTCCTACTTGTTTCTTACTGCTCAATTTATATTAAAACAGATTTTTAAAAGTTCTTTGCAGAAGAATATTTGATCAGAACTGCAGTATCATGATGACAACAAGATTCATCTGTTTAATGCTGCTGACTGTCGTAGGAGTTACTACAAATGAAGCACAGGAATTTGAAGGCAATGACAAGGAAACAGATCAAGAATTCATTTACATGAACAGATATAAGCGTTCCAGTGACACACAGGACAAATGCACTTACACCTTTATTGTACCTCAGCAGAGAGTGACAGGTGCCATTTGTGTTAATTCTAAGGAGCCTGAAGTTCTACTTGAAAACAGGGTAAATAAACAAGAGTTGCAGTTACTTAACAATGAACTTCTCAAACAAAAGAGACAAATAGAAACTCTCCAACAACTGGTAGAAGTGGATGGTGGAATTGTTAATGAAGTTAAACTCTTAAGAAAAGAGAGCAGAAATATGAATTCTCGTGTCACACAACTCTACATGCAGCTACTTCATGAAATTATCCGAAAACGTGACAATGCCTTAGAACTTTCTCAACTGGAGAATAAGATTTTGAACCAAACTGCAGATATGTTGCAGCTTGCAAACAAATACAAAGACCTAGAGCACAAGTATCAACATTTGATGTCAATTGCCAATAACCAGTCAATAATAATTGCCCAGCTGGAAGAACACTGTCAAAGAACACCATCCATAAAGCCACTGCCACAAACTCCACAACCACCAGATAAAGGGTACCAGCCTCCTACTTACAATCGCATCAATAACCAGATATCTACCAATGAGATTCAGAGTGACCAGAACTTGAAGGTTCTACCACCTACCTTGCCAACCATGCCTGCAGTTACTAGTATTCCAACTTCAACTGATAAACCATCTGGTAAGTAATATTATTGATATGGCTATGTTAGTTTATGGTAATGTGGAATGGGCAACATTTTAATTGTAATATAAAAATGCAGTCAGAATTTATGTAAATGAATAATTTTTAACTAATTGAGATTTCTTAGTTCTGATACTATCTTGTGTATTTTTTACATACATGTTGTAGTACAAGCACAGAAAGAAAGCAACAGACTGAACTCTCAATGTCTAAGATGCAGACACACTTGCCCCACAGATTTTTCTCATGTTACTTTGCCAAGACAAACTCACCATTTATATTATATGTATGAGATAGAGGAGCTGCAGAAAAATCTTACTAATCAACAGCTAAATTTTATTTACCGTTGCTCAAGACTGAACTGCTACAATCCATGACATCCAAAGGCATTTGACAGTGTTTGTGTAAACATTTGTGAAGTTACTACAAGTTTGTTCATCTAGCACGTTGTAACTGTTGTGCTTGTGTAACTCAAAAAGGAATAGGTATCTGCTCTGTACCTCACATGGGGCACTTGTGCTCTAGACAGGAGCAAAGGGAAGCAAGTGGTGGGATAGTAAGGGATATTATACAGTCCTCATTAAGAGTCTTAGGAGTTGTGCCACAGACAAGATCAGAAGATCTGAAATCACATTAGAGATCAACTGATCTACACAACAGCAAAAATAACAGGTAAAGAATTCAGTTTCACCACCTGTGGTCCCACAGCTTAAAAAAACCAGTGCAGGTATGTGTTCCATACAAGAAAAGTCTGTTCTTCAGTGTATGAAAACTGCATACTTGCTTCAGGAAAAAGATAGGGGAGTCACAGACATCTGAACTCAGAGCTGAAGCAGAGTAATGCATGGGAACTGCACTCAATATATTTCATGGGTATTTGCAATGTATTCCAAAACACATAAAAAAACTCTTTAGAATTAACAAATGATGCAACTGCCACATGTTTTTAAAAAAAAAAGAAAAAGGAAACAAAACCCCCACCTTATTTCTCCATGCAAATATTCACAATGAAAGAAGCTTGATGGGGTGTCTCAGTCCAAAGCACAGGCTCTAAAACACATTGCTCCAAAGCAGTATTTTCACCGTATTGCCAAAGATGAACTCACCAAAGATTGCACTGTGGCATGCAGAACCTCAGGCAAAAACGCCATGATTCTAATGTACTAGGTAAGAAAATAAAAAGTTCTTGGAACAAAATCAGATCTATTACAACTTCTTTGGAGCAATACACTATACCTCTTTAACAATTACATTTGACTTCAATGTCAAAATAGGTTCAGGCTTGGTACAGTATTTCCCTATCTTTCTGTAAGTGAAAGACCTTTCAAGCAGTCCTTGAGGACCTTTCCCCTTCCTGTCACACGCTAAAAATGCATTAATTGGTCCACATCCTCCTGGTGCTTTCAAGTGTTTAAACTGATGCTCGAGGCTTCCCTATCACATGGCAGAATAGAAAAGTTAATTCGGGGGTACAGTACTTTTGCTGATCCAGCCTAATATGTTTTCCTGTTTTGAAAAGTAAAATGTTGACTCAGGACCAACTTGCAACCCTGTAGGATTCCCAGATCTTCACCTGAGGAAGTGCCGCTTATCCAGCTATTTTTCATGTGATCTCCAGAGGTCCTTTTTGCAGTCCACGATTCTAAGATAAGATTTGACATTTGCTACTTCTTCCTGGACTACATAACTTATCAGAAAAATAAGTTTCATGCTTCTTCTGTGCAACGTAATTATATTAATTCCTCTTATTTTCATCAGGACGTGATTTGTTAAGCAGGTCTCCAACAACGGAATTTAATTTAATTAACCTTTCATTTCCAGGGTATCCTCCTCCCCTCTCCTCACCCTTCTTTTTGGGCAAGAAACATTTAATACCTTTTCCTCATCCTCCACTCACAAAGCACATCTCAAACCAACCTCCTCCCTACAATTAATTCTGTAAATGCTGCTTTGCTCAGGTGTCTGGAAAGACCTAGGAAAAACACACCCACCAGCAACATCCTACAAAACAAACAAACCCCACCACAACTGCCCAGCCACCAGAAAAATATCCACCTGTATTTTATCCAGTCCCTTCTCTGCTACGTCTTGATTTCTCAACCTCTGCCAAAACTCCTAGCTGTAATAACCACCTGATGGCAGCCAACCTGTGCAATGAAAGCTGAAGAAAAGTGGACCAAAAATATCAAATGCTATCTTTTAATCTGTTAACAGCTCTCCCTCCTCACAGAGAAGCAGACCAATACTCTCCCTTGATTACTACTCTCTGTAGTTTTATTATTTAATTTCGTACATTTTGTACACACTTTGGGGGGGTTTTGTTTGTGTCTTTATGTTGTTTGGGGTTTTTAATAGCTTTTTGGGGTTTTTTTTGTTGCTGCCCCATCCCTGGAAGTGTTCAAGACCAGGCTGGACAGGGCTTGGAACAACCTGGTCTAGTGGAAGGTGTCTCCACCCATGGCAGGGAGTTGGAATGAGACGATCTTTATGGTCCCTTCCAGCCCAAACTGTTCTGGGACTCTATGACTCCCCAGAGGCAATTTTACCAAAACTACCCACCTCAAAGTCAGGATGCTCTCACTTTTTCAAGGGAACACACCTTATTAAAAAATTTGAAAAGGTAGGATCTTACAAAAAAAGCTCCTGTCATGGAAAAGTAGTAGGAAACTCAGCCTTAAAGTTCTTAAAAGAGTAAAAGAAAATTATGTGCAGTTGAAAGAATTATGTGCAGTTGAGCATTGTTGCCACGAGGCCAAAAAGAAACTGCAAGATTACAATGCTGTAAACACTACATCGTATACTGCTATATGTTTAGTTTTATGAAGACAAGATCAAAGCTCTGTGGTTGGCTATTTTAGGAATTTCTTCAATAAACATTTCAACGGGTATGTCCTGTTTTCTTTTAAGTGTCACTACATACACATTGTGATAAAATGAGTGTTTTCTCCCACCTCTCATAATGAGCCATGCAACTGTGTGACAGAGCACTGCATCTACATCTAAACTGCCAGAAATCTGAACAGTGAGCCACAACAGAAATGGAGAAGGGGCTTAGCAGCACAACTCCAGGTACAGTCCCTGAAGGCAACAAGAACTCAGTGTGGCCACAGAACAAACACTTGGATTGCCTCTGGGTACACTGACTTGCTGATTATAACAGTTAAAGAAACCACAAAACCCTCAATCCCCCAAACACTTGAGATAATTTCTATAAAACAAATTAATTTCTAATGCAGTTAGAGTACCATTATCAGTGTTGAACAGTGAACTATGAAAAAACTTAGAAGAACTGAAATAATTTGAAAGTGAAATTAAAATTTCTCTTGATAGCAACATATACTTCAGTAAGGCTTGTAATGAGATCTGACAAGCCTTCCTCCTTCAGTGGGCAGGGGGAATCAATCCAGGGTCTCTAATCCTGAGGCTTCTTGTTGACCACTCTCCTGCTCAGGCAGCAGAGCAGTGGGGGGAGTGAGTCTCTCTGCAGATACCAACACAGACTCCTGAATCGTTTCTGTGCAAACTTCTCAGATGCGTTAAAATGGAATCTTCACATTAGAGAAAATTTCTTCAAAAATCATGAATATAAGATACTTTCAAAAAGAGTAAGCTCTTTATGGCCTCTAATGAACTCAAGGAAAAGAAATGTATTCTCCTTCTGAAAATAAGAGTACTTTAACTGCAGCTTCTGTGAATGAAGAGTATTTGAAGTCTTCTCATTTATACAGAATTTCTCTCACAGGCACTTGGACGTTTTAACACGTTCAACCTTAATTTCTATTTGGTGTTGTCACTTGCTGAGGTGGCAAGAGACATATAATCTGAATTTATGTTGCAGGTTCCATTGTTAACGTCCGTGCCAGTGACATTTTTGGGGATCTAAAACACTGAATTTCTGAGAGACAGAATCAAGGTCAAACTTGCCACTTTGCTTTCTAAAGGAAATTCTTAATACTTATCTATCATTCATATTTAGTTCCTTTGAAAATGTAATAAATGATAAAACCACAGCTGCTTTAAAAAAATAAATGTTTTAAAAAATCTACCTTTATCGGTAATTCATTCTGAAATGCTCCAGAAGTAAGGTTCCAGTAAATGAATCTGAAAACACTTAGTGAATACTGCACCTACCATAAAAGGAAAACCAAATGCACTGCTGAGCAAAACCCATCTCCTGTAGAAAGCCACGAACTCGACTGCCGCCCTGCATGAACGACATGCTCCACGGCAGTTTGATGCAGAGCCCTTCTGTCTCGATACAGGGCCCTGGAGGGACTGCCTACAAGCACTAGAAGATGGCCATGACACAAGCTCCATCTATCTTGTAAAACCAGAGAACACAAACCAGCTGATGCAGGTCTGGTGTGACCAACGGCATGACCCCGGTGGCTGGACAGTCATTCAGAGACGGCTGGATGGCTCTGTCAACTTTTTCAGGAACTGGGAGACATACAAGGTTAGGACAAGTGAGCAGTTTAATGTTTTCCACCCTCTAAAAATTAGTGGTAAAGGTAATTTTAAATGTGATTTTAGAGTTTGGCCAAGAACCTACTTAAAAAAGAAGTTCCATGTTTACCCTTCTAGATGATGAAGTCTTTTTAAAACAAGTCAGTTTTCTACTTAAGAATACACTCAGATTTACCACTAGCACAGATGCAGAACATTAACGTGCTTCTCTTGCTTCCTTTACAGCAAGGATTTGGTAATATAGATGGAGAATACTGGCTTGGATTAGAAAACATTTATTGGCTCACAAATCAAGGCAACTACAAACTGCTCATAACAATGGAAGACTGGTCAGGGCGCAGAGTGTTTGCAGAGTACGCCAGCTTCAGGCTGGAGCCCGAGAGCGAGTACTACAGGCTGAGACTGGGTCGCTACAACGGCAACGCGGGCGACTCCTTCACCTGGCACAACGGCAAACAGTTCACCACGCTGGACCGGGACCACGACGTGTATACAGGTGTGGGCTCCCTCTCAGCTGCCATGCCTTTTTTTGCCCTTTTTGCCCCTTTCCTCCTTCTTTCACCTCTCCTTTCCCTGCCCCTCCTTTTTTAAAAGAAAAATACTTATGCTCATACACAAACAAAAAGACTGCACTTTCAAAGGCATTTGTCAGTTCATACCTTATGAAGCACAAACTGATGTGTCAACCCTTACACATACTAACACCAAAACAAAATGAATTTATGCTAAACATGGGTCTGTAAAATATGCTATGGAGAGTAATTTAAGACAGCCGTGCACACAAGTTTTCCAGCAAGGGACAGTAACAATAATGATTCTATCTGTAGAACCTAACTATTTCTTGAAGAAGCCTAAATTCACCTTGCACCACACGGTACCTACATGGTAAACACACCATTAAAACCAAGAAGTTTTGTGCTTAGCTTGCTTAGATTTCTCATGTAATTGTCAGACTGAACTGGAGCTTTCTTTTGCAGGTAACTGCGCTCACTACCAGAAGGGAGGATGGTGGTACAATGCGTGTGCTCACTCCAACCTCAATGGGGTCTGGTACCGCGGGGGGCACTACCGCAGTCGCTACCAGGATGGTGTTTACTGGGCTGAATTCCGGGGGGGATCATATTCACTAAAGAAAGTTGTTATGATGATAAGACCTAACCCCAACACATTTCACTGAAAACACTCTTGTCTGGGTTTGCTTTCTTGTTCTAAAATACCATGTAAAGCTATGATGTTATTACCTGGAATTATCTTTTCAGAAATGAGGAATGTAAGATATTGTACATTTATTGATAAGATATGAGGGCTTGTATAGTCTATTTTCAAGAACCATCCCTGGAAAAAACGCTGAAGGAAAAAAAAAGGAACTGAAATAACATTCAGAACACCTCTCGGGAGTAGAAGTCGTAGGTATATTAAGCCTTTTAGAAACTGGCAGTTCAAACTGACTGTAGATAAACTTCCTGCTTTTTATTCCCTGTAAATTAAGTTTGGATGGTAAAAACACTGCCACAACATTTAACTATTTTTGTATGTTATGTATAAATATTCTCAAATACAGGAATGTTACAAACTGTACAGCAAGAGTTTTATTATTATCATTATTATGAGCATTTGACACAGGAAATCATATCCTTTGAACTGTGTAGCTGGCATATGTACATTAGTGTGATTATGATGTAATCTTCGTTAACTGCCATGGATAAAGTTAGTACTACATAATTCTGTTTTGAGAGCAGATGCTCAAACTATTACTATTGTGATAAATCCAGTCATTCCCCTTTACTCTTGAGCATTTTAATTATCTGCTCCTATAAACTGGAATTCACAATTGATTCAAATATTTTAGATCAAAAACACTAATGTTTTTTCTTACCAAAATGAAGTAGCTACTCGCATATGGAAATTAACCCAGATTTACAACAGATATGTGCTGTATAGCCAACATGTTCTACTGCACGACTGTCACAGTATTTTGTACCTGACTTCAGTCATTACCTGCTTTGTAGCCTCTGTAATCAGAAATGGCTGGATATAAATTAAAGGGACTATCCAACTTTGCAGGCAAATGATGGATACCAGTTTATAAGCTATTTAATATCATTAGCCTATAGATGAAAATATATAAAGTTATCTGTAGCCAAGAGAAGTTAGTTTTAACATTTCACAATTATAACACATTAGTGTCAAATTATAAACCAGATTTACTCATCTATATTTAGAGGTCAGTTACATTTATGAAATACAGACTGGGATAATTCTAATATTCTTCTGGGGTAGGTTTCTAGAACAGATTGTTAACACACGCATTTCAAAACAGCAACTACTATAAAATATCTAAGTTAAAGAATGCATAAAAGAGGCAGAGTAAAAGCCTCTAGAAGTTCGAGTTACTTTTCAGTAAGGCTGTAAGACACTGTGTTTGTGTGCATGTGCTTGCATACTTTTCCCTTATTACCTCATCACTTTACCACAGTATGATGTGTGATGTAGCATGTGTTGTATATAACTGAAACCAGGTTTTTTATATATTAGATTACCCCTGTAATGTTGTAATCCTTTAATAAAGCAACAAATGTTATTTTGACATGTTCACATTTCATCCTGTTTCAGTTCAGATTACTTACAGCAAAGAACAGATAATTACTTAAATCACTTTGCCTCATGACTCAAATCAACTCCGCTACACAACTACTGTTCACGTGTGTGAAGTGTTTAAAGATTCCAACATCAAATGCAAAGCAACTTTCAGATGAGAAAAACACTGAATTTCCACACAGCCCAAGGAGGAAGAACTTTTTGTAGGTCATATGAAAAGTCCAAAATTTTCAAACAGTATTCAAGCTTTACCTTCCACTGGCTTATCTACCAAACTCTGGGAAAGATTTAAGTAAGAAATATTAAACACACCTACTGGCCCCAGAGCCTGGCCATAGGGCTCTAACCACTGTAATGGCAGCATTATGGCTACTTCATGCTTGGCTTGAGGAAGGAGTGCAGAGTTCAGGTACACACTGTGCAGGTCTCAGGACTGAGGCATTCCCTAGAAAGCTATTACAGGTGCTCTTCTGTAGCTGGAGATACAGCAACAGGTACATCTCCATGTATAGTAGTATACATGTAGTATACACTCATGATATGCTTTAAACCCACATCCAAGTTGACAGTCTTTTGTTAAAATAACTGTATTTCTTAACCTTTCTACCCAAAAGGTGAGTGATCTGCCTAGAGGCTCATCCATGTAATAAAAAAAGATAACTCACAAAAAGTCAGTTTATGAAGACCTGGAGAAACCACATCTGAGAACAGAACTTGGGCATTTTTTTCACAAAATCTGCATAAAATAAACACAGAGGCTGGCACATCAAAAACAATTAAACAAGGAATTTGGAACTTAGTGAAGTTATTGGCAATCACAGATTAGCAAAATTTCACTATGCCTGTTTTGGTTTTTTTTTTTACATTCACACAACAGAAGGCAGTTTGCACTAGATCCATCTACTATAGTAGATGCCACTACTATAACCTGTCAAAGATCTTAGCTTTTCCCATTTCCCTAATTATTTCCAATTGTTTCAGTTACATTCTTACTCCATTGCTCCCCAAAAGTACATCTCTGACAACACTATGCTGGCTAAATATCACATACAAATCACCTCCCTATCATTAGCAAAAGCATATTAGTGAGTTTATACACAAGAGAACTGCAGCACTATGGAGAATTCTAACAGCTTCAATTTTCCTGTAATCCTCGTTCAATTCAAGAGGTACCACAGAAACAATCCTGCAACAGCAAGCTCCTGGAAACTAAGGTTGCTCTTCTGAATTTTTGAAATCTCTCTACCTTTTTCAGATAAGTAAAGAAAATGCTGTAAGCTGATACATTATCTATGTATCAGGACTGAAACACTGGGGCCCCACCTATAGCATTTAGACAAAAGGCTCTCTCAATAAGATTGAGGTTACCTCAGAAGACAACTCATTATTCTCTTGTATTCATATTTCCTAAGAGTTCTTTCCTGAAACTATTACCCAAGTTTTCAGCATTAGCCCCATGGCTATATTCCAAGAAAAAAAAAGCAAACAACAGAACACCCCAACTCAGTGAAATCTGTATATCGTAACAGACCATACCCATCTTTATCTGTTCTGTAACAATCTAAAAGATCATCAGTAGCAAAGACAGGAAAAAGCCGTAGCTAGCCACTACACCCACGAGTTCCCCCAAAAATGTGACAGCTATTTTTTTAAGATCACGCTGTGGCTGAACGCTTCCCACAGTCCACATCAGAGCCTCGCCAATCTCATGATTCCTTTCTCCCTCCTCCTCCTCTTTTTAGACTCAGAAGACATGGCTGCAAACAAAATAACTGCTGGATGTTTTAACAGCACTTTTAAACACAGGAATGCATTAGTCTTTCCTGTTTAGCCTGAGGTTGTAAACAAACTTGTATTCATCTGGTTACACAAAAGTTCAGCTGCACCTCCTTGGACGCATGGAAAACCTTACTTGAAAAGAGCAGCAACACTGCTTAGTCTTTGCAATCAGCAGGGAGAGAGTCTCTGATGCACCCGAGAGACAACACATGCAGGAGGATTCTAGCCCTCAAGGAGGTTAGCTAGACGCCATCAGGAATTTCATATTCAACTGTGTAACTTCAGAACATGAAGAATTTTTTCCTTTCACTTTCATTACCCAAGTCTTTTACTAGGCTTGTAACACTTGTGTTTGTTTCAGAAGTATTTCAGGCTTAAATTTTAATTAAAACTGGCTTGGGGCGATGTCCCAATAACTGGATCACATTAAAATACTTTCTACACAAGGCTGTGAGCCAATTCTATAAACCAGAGTACTGGGACAACTTAAGCAGCTGCTTAACTTCCCAGTACATTCTCCAGCTCATTTCAGACAATCTCAGGCTGCCACAGATGGAATGAGAACAGGTGTCTCATAACTAAGAAACTTTCTTAAAGTGAGACAAGAGGCTCTACAGCATGAAACAGGAGCCCCATTAGCTCTGCAAATCTTCAGACCTTGTCACTCTCATTCAGTTGTTTTACAGACACTATTTACTCCTAACATGATCTGTCAGTCTACTTGTTCATTCAAAGAGATTAAAGCCCTTCTGTATGTAATGTTGTCTTTCTCAACAAGATATTTATTCTCTGAAACAAGTCTCCTTTGAATATTCTCTCTTGATAAGCTAAACATTCCTTCAAACCTGAAATTATTTTCAAACTCATACCAAGTTTTCAACACATTTAAGTATGGCCATTAGAGATGGCCATAAAATTCATTAAATAAGAAGTGTTTTAGATAAGCAGCACTGACTGTTATCCACAGCAATTTGTGCTGGGACCAGTGCTGCTCAACATATTCAGAAGTGACCTGAAAATGGGAGTGAACAGTGGAACAAATATCTGCTGATGATATTAACTCATTGAAGGGAGCAAAGGAAAGGGCTGACTGAGAGGAACTGCAGAAGGATTTATGAAACAAATTGCTAGGACAGTAAAACAGAAGATGAAAAATCTATAGACAGTGTTATGTACAGAGGGGGGAAAAGTCCTTACTTTGCACATAAGACAAAAAGAGGAAACCATTCCCAATAAAGGCATAATCTTGGGATCACAATAACAGGTCCTGATTGCTACTAAACTTTGAGCTAACGGAACGTTCAGAATTACTAAGCAGAGCACAAAAAACTTTCTGAAGTAACTGTATAAATCTAACCTGCATTTCTATCTTAAATTTTGCAGGCAGTCCACGTGCACTCTCTCCCCATAAAAAAGTATACAGGACTGAAACACTGCCCCAGCAGACTGTCAGTGACGCCAAGTGGCATCTACACAAGGCATGATCAAGTAACCCAAAGGTTCTTCCTTCAGGAAGAGATGTACCTGAAGATTTAGTGTGAAGGCAACAAAAACAGTGTCCACAGTGTCAGCTGCATAACGAACAAGGTAGGGTTTATGCAGTGAAGCTGGAAAATGCAATGTTCAATTCATGCAAAAGAATGTGGCACTCGATAGAGCTAAGGAAATCCTGCCAGCTGGGTGTTGTGCATGCAAGGATTTTACAAGTGTTTAAGGACAGAGTGCAATAGTTCATGGAAGAGAATCCACTGAGGCACTGGGGGTCACTAACAACAGAAACAGCAATTCTGACCCAGGAAGCCTATGCAGAATTCTTGAGCTCTCGTTATCAAGGTTCAGTGATTTAGAAACATTTACCCTTTTTAGGTCCAGTTCAGCATCACACTAAATCACTAATAAAGCCAGAAAACAGTTCATTATATTGGATTACATTCACTAACAATAACCTGTGTGCAGAAATATTCCTAGGTGAAATACTGACAAAAAAACCAGTTTAGAAATGGCTACTTGGTGCATATCACAAAAGAAAATGAGACTATCAACACTGCACAGCATTTTACCTGTAGGTCTTTTTAATACATTTTCACATTGAATTATACATATATTTGTTCAGCATCTGAGAAAAACACTCATTCCACAAGTATGTAAACATCTGTGAACAGCCTAAAAATCTCAACCTGACCCAGTTTTTCTGGAGTGAATGATACCTTCTATAGACAGTGTTCTTCAGGTGCACATGTTACATTAGTGCTTGTCAGATAAATAAGGTAATTGTTCACACTCACCTAAATATGGAATTGTAGGAACCATTTTTAAGCTTCTGATGTACTCTCGTGTCCTTT